AGGCAAGTCCACCTCGACGATCGAATTTCAGGCCAATGAAGCCGCCAAGCCTGAAACGGCAGGTGTCTGGAGTGCATGGAGACGAGATACCAAAATGGACCCGGCATCGTCCGGCACGAGCAAGCCATCTCGGGGCCGTACGATGAAAGTTCTAAGGCCGACCAAGCCTTCTACACGAGCGCCAACAGCGTCAAGCGGTGCCGGTACTGATGCGGGGGCGGCTTCGGCGTCGCCTCAGCCGACGTCGTCCCGAGCGTCCCCAGACGAAAGCCGGACCGGCAAACAGTGGGCTCCGAATCCTATCGGCGGGGCTTCTGCGTTTGGCTGGCTTAATTCACCTCAGCCGCCTAAACGTGTTGTAACAATGCCTAAATGAACTATATCAGGAATGGACGAAGGGAACTGGCGTTTTGGAGAATGAATGTGAGGTCCCGTATGTAGACAAAATGATCAACCGTACTAGCAATCAATTATATATCTTTAAGCACCTGCAGTGTCACCTCCGGTCTTGTCCATCCATCCACATGTCCAGACACGACAGGAAAAACGAAAAGCTCAAATCTTCGAAAACACCTCCATCGCCTCCCTCGTCTCCTCTTTCATCTCCCTCACCAACCCACTAACAGCCTTGAACTCCGGCCTGCCCGCATCCCCCATAATCTCAAACAAAATCCCCTCACTGCTCGTCACGATCGCCCCAGCATCCCGCAGCCGCGCAAGCGCCACCCCCCTCTCCTCCTTATTCATACTACTCACCCCATCCACAATCACATACACCCGGTGCCCGCGCTCCAGCAGATCCAGCGTCGTCTGCGTAATGCAGATATGCGTCTCAATTCCCACAATGATAACATCCAGCGGCATCTCCCCGCCCTTCGCGTTCGGAAGCAGCGCATCGAGTTCCGGCGTGATCATCGAGAAAAGCGTCTTATCGATGTTGGCGCGCACAAGCGGTGTAGAGAGGTAGGGCTGGAGCTCGGAGACGATGTCGCCTAGTCGGGGGCGGTTCTGCGTTGTGACGTAGACGGGGATGTTAAGTGCTGAGGAGGCTTTGAGGAGTTTGGTGGTTGTTGTTATGCTGTTCGTCGTCAGTTTCATTTCGCGTGTGGAGGAGGGGGTGTAGGCTAGGCGTACAGTTTCGGGAACTCGTAGATGGCGCGAAATTTCTCCTGGAGGTCGCAGATGCTGTTTGTACTGTGAGTACGAGGTTATTCTGATTATCTGGGGAAGGCGTACAATAAGGCCGGGTTGCCTGTGTACAGTACCCTGTGGTTAGCATTTCAGAATGTCGGTTGGGACGAGGAGAACGTACGGATCCGGCAGGCTCGTGAGATGGCTGCCATTGTGATTGCTTAGTCTGCTCCTCGAGTTTCTTCGCTAGTGGATGGTTAAGAATGTCAATTGATTTATGAGTCCGGGTGGTAAAATCATGAAATAAGTTAAAAAAAAGTAGAGAAGTAAAGGCCGATAACGGTTGCTGCGGAGGAAGATGGCGGGGGAATCCGGACTAGTGCGGGGAAGTTTTTCGCCCGAGAAATCAGGCTTCAACACGAATAGTTCCCAGGTAGTTATAGAGTAAGTCAGCTGAATTGTATAGCAAATATCACAGCTTTTATTAACGGGTATACATCTATATACACTATCTGTTCTTGCTATAGTTTGATATCGTGAAGCTTTGCCCGTCCTGAGAACCAGCTGTCGTCACCCTTTAGAGCTGCTTGTCGGATGGCATAGAGCTCGTCCAGGAAAGCCGGGACGAAGCTTCCCGGTCCCCGGACATAGTCCTTTGACGCGGCGTTCTCCGCCGCAATTTCATACATGAGGATACCTGACAGAACAGCCAGGAGCTTGTCGGAGGGGTGTGCAGCCAGGAAGCAGCCGGATACCGTTCCCACGGCACAGCCAGTCTGTATGACGCGTTAGCAAGAGATTGAAGAAACGAGAGTATTGGACGTACGCCGGTGACTTGTCCAAGGAATTCATGACCATTCTCGACTGCGATCACACGCTCGCCATCGCTTAGATAGTCGACAGCGCCAGTMATAAGGACGACGTTTCCTGTCAGGGTTAGCAACTGGATCTCGCTTGAAGAACGGTGCAGCGTACGCTCTCTTCTGGCTAGGTCGCGGGCCAATCTAGCCTTCTCTTGTCCGTCAAGAGTGCTTGGTCCACTGTCCACACCGCGCTGGACTGCATTGCTGCTTCCTGATACCTGTCTGATTTCTCCCTCGTTTCCCTTGATAAGATCAAAGTAGCCCCCCCTCATAAGCTCCTTGACTGCCCCGCGCCGGACCTGGGTCGCCGCAGCGCCGACGGGGTCGTAGACCACAGGGTTTCCGCGCTCGTTGTATGATTTGATCGCTTGGAGGTAGTTTGGTACACTTTCGCGCGACAAGGTACCCATGTTGATGACAAGAGCGCCGTCGAATTTGGCCAGGTCGACCGCTTCTTCGCCGTATGGGGACATGATCGGGGAAGCACCCCTGGAAGCCAGTTAGACAAATCAACAATGATCCAAATGCGGACGTACATCGAGAGAGCCACATTGGCAACAAAATTGGCCACAACGTAGTTAATCATGTTATGGACCAAAGGGTGTGCCTTGACCATCTTCTGAACGATTTGAGGGACCTCTTCGACCAATGCTGCAGCTTCATTCGGTCGAGGTGCCTTGGGTTCCCATGCGAACCTAGGTGGGCTGTTGATCCGTTTGACAAATTCCTCGGCCGCAGCGCGCGGGTCGTCAGCTGCCATGATGGCACTGACGATAGCGACGCCGTCCAGTCCCTTCCTGGGCGCTTTGGACTGGTACATCACCCTCTGGACGTTCGAAAGGTTGATACCGCCGATAGCGACTGTCCCGACATTTCGACCCGAGTCGGAAATAGCGTCAAGGACCCCCTGAGTGCCTGCTGTTCCGAGGATGTGTTTTGTATTTGTTTTACTGGCAAGTCAGATTAAATCACGGCAAGGTCATCCATAGATCATCCGTCCAAATGGCAACTTACGTCGGCGTTGCGAACATGGTTCCGATACCCAGGTAATCGGCACCCGCCTCGATGGCTCGCTGGGCCTCTTCGACTGAAGACGCACTGATTCCGATGATAGCATCTTCGGGAAGCAGATTTTTCGCCTCCTCGATGTCTGTACCAAACCGTATCAGTAAGGATCAGTAGCGGTCACCTGAGGCCACGGGTCGTACACATATCGTCTTGCCCAAGGTGGACGCCTTCTGCTCCAACAGCGAGGGCGACATCTACGCGATCGTTGATCAACAGTGGGACCCCATAAGCTTTGGTGATCTTGTGCAGCTTTTTAGCCGTTTGGATCAAGTCCCCTGTGTCGCTCGCTTTGTCTCTATATTGCACAATAGTCACACCTGATGCCACACATTAGCACAAGACGTCAGTGTGCGAGACAAGTGTGACATTGACTGACCTCCTTTCAAGGCTTCTTCTACCACAGTGCACAGATCCCGGCCTTTAAGAATGGCTGGGGTCGAATCTGTGACCAGGTATACTGATAGATCTAAAGGCATTTTCTATTGCCGTTGTCAGCATATGGCCAGGAGCCAGAAGTTTGCGGCAGATAGAACGGCGAGGGGCAGGAGTGGCTTTGAAATTGATATGAGATCAAACGAGTCCAAAGAACAAAGAGTTGTACATGTAGAAGCACACTTACCCAAAACAACTTTGTGCGAATAATCCACCAATATGGAATCGCTGGTATAGGTTCTCCCGTGGTCTAATCCAGAGCTCTCGGGAAGAGTCAGAGGAAGCATCAAATGACGTTTGGCAGCGTGTGGGGACACCCGGTGAGGTTTAACTCAGCAATTGAGATTGGATTTAGCCATGAGACTTGCTCTTCATAAGTAAGTTTCTGTTTCTGGAGCTACATTGACACTGAGTATCATCCATAATAACTGCTTACTGATCTCAATGGAACAATCTATATTCTGTACAATGACCCCTATAGCTGATACAGATATAGATGAGTAACACACCCACAGACAACAGCTTTGCCACAGAGTCATCAACTGGTAGTTAACAAATCCACAAATGATGCAGAGGCCTAATATAATTACTCTTTAGTCCACATATTGCTTTCATGTACTCTTATAGTGATGGAACGTCCTGTGTTTCTGAATGAGGGGAGAGTAAGACATTGATCATGTGACCATTCATCAAGACGAGGAGGAACACGTGCCCTCGAAAGACGCATCCCGGTCTTCCGAAAGTGGGCAGGCAACAGTGCTGAGTCAGCCCTCCGAAATTTTCTCAGTGAGTCTTGGCACTTCGGCTCCGAGCCTTTCTGTTTGGCCCTTAAACTTCTTTCCTCGTTTCGGTTTCTTCGTCTTCTCACTCACTCTCACACACACTCTCAACTCATCCATCTGCATCTTCTGCATCATCGAATTCAACCAGCTTCCAACGCTGTCATCTCGTCGAAACCACACGCTTCAGCTGTTAAACGTATCCGAGTTTTTCAGCTCTCGTTTTGATCGAAAAGCCACTCTGGTTAGTTTCTTGATACGGTCCTTTCGTCAACCGACCGCCACCACGAGTTTGAGGTCTGACTTTAGTTGCCTCTCATCTCCCAGTAGAACCATCCGTTGGTTTCTTTCCCAACTACCGGAGAAAGCCACTCAAAGAAAAGAGTCGGTCGCGAACTTGTCTATGTATTCGTCCTGCGTCAGAGATTTCGAACACCACCTGCCGCTCAAGCTGCAAACGTTTCGCTCCGAGCTGAAACCTTGTAGTATACATTCAAAGTCCTGTGGCTGAACCCCAGGCTTGCTCTATCTGCTGTGTGAAATCGTTTACTTGGGACGATTCTAACTCTCCACCGTCCAATACTTTTCAAAAGTCGAGGAATTCGCTACGCATGTCTTGTCTTTTCAAGATATCACTGGTTCATAATCCCTCCCGCTTCGCTTTCAAACAGCTCGTTCTCACTGTTTCGTGAAAAAAAAAAAATAATCATCCTCAACAACCGTCAAAATGGCTACCGTCAACATTCGTCGCGATGTCACCGATCCTTTCTACCGTTACAAGATGGAGCGCCTCCAGTCCAAGATTGAAGGCAAGGGTAACGGTATCAAGACTGTGGTCGTCAACCTGAACTCTGTCGCTCAGTCTTTGAGCCGTCCTCCCTCTTATGTGATCAAGTACTTCGGATTTGAACTCGGTGCTCAGGCTAACGCCAAGCCCACCGATGATCGCTGGATTATCAACGGCGCCCACGATGCTGCCAAGCTTCAGGATTACCTCGATGGCTTCATCTCCAAGTTCGTGCTTTGCAAGAAATGTAAGAATCCTGAAACGGATGTCATCATCAAGGATGATAAGATCATCCTTGACTGCAAGGCCTGTGGTCAGCGCACCGATGTTGATCCCCGTTTGAAGCTGAGCACCTTCATTATCCGCGACCGTGCTTCTACCAAGGGAGGGAAGAAGGACAAGGCCGCCAGAAGAGCTCGCAAGAACAAGAAGGCCGAGGAGGGAGCCAACGGTGACAAGGATGTCAGCCCTGGAGATAGCAACTCCGACAACGGTTCAGGCGAGGATCTTGCTTTGGAAGCCAACAGCGACGATGAACTCACCCGCCGTATTAAGGCCGAGGCTGAGGCCCTCGCGGCCGAGAAAGACATTGAAGACGACGAATGGGCTGTGGACGTTTCTGAGGAGGCCGTCAAGGCTCGTGCCAAGGAACTTCCCGATGACCTGAAGCGTTCTCTCGTCCTTGAGGACGGCGATGAAGACGGAGAGGCTGATGGACCGTCTGCCTACGATTTGCTTGGCAGCTGGATTCTCGAGACCGCATCTGAAAAGGGCGACATCACTGCCGTTAGCGACGTCGATATCTACATGAAGGCCAAGGAGTTCGGCATTGAGAACAAGCACAAGACTGTTGCTGTCCTTGCCCAGACCATCTTCAACGAGAAGATTGTCAAGCAGATTCCCGCCCGCGCTGCTTTCCTGAAGAAGATGATCACTTCTGAGCGCCACGAGAAGGCCTTCCTCGGCGGTACCGAGCGTTTTCTTGGCAAGGATCACCCTGAGCTGATCTCTCTGGTTCCCGCCGTCCTCCTGGGTTATTACCAGCACGATCTTGTCTCCGAGGATGTGCTGAAGGCATGGGGTTCCAAGGCCAGCAAGAAGTACGTCGACCTCTCCACCAGCAAGAAGGTTCGCAAGGCTGCTGAGCCCTTCCTTGACTGGCTCGAGAATGCTGAGAGCGATGACGAGGAAAGCGAGGATGACGAGTAGATTGGTAAATCGGCTACTCGGCTATTTGCGAAGTTCGGGATGTCTTCGGAACTTGCTTTTTTCTTCACAATGCGCTAATTTTGGTCATTACTAAATTCACACTCATTCACTTGACAAGTGCCCACGAATCGTGTCTTCAACACTTTCGTTGATTTGAGGTTCATCTGATTGCTGCATCACTATGAATGACAAATATCTCTTCTCAATATTCCACTCTTTTAGAAATTTCCATTGTAGAATAATCCCATTGTAGACTACCTCACATTGTAGACTACTCACAGGCTGACAGAACGCGTTGTCTTGGTGCAGTTTACTCATAGGGGCGTCACATAGATTTGTTCCTGTAGGGTAAGTCATCTACATATGATCACTGTTCATACAAATCAGAACACCACTGGGGCGAATTTCAACCGGTTTGCCAGCAAAGACCAAGATTCCAGTGGGTTCTCCGGAATCTCGCAGATCATAGGCGCGCCATCACCCGCATTGCTTTTGTTCAGCGTCGCGACTGCCGGGCCCTTTCGCCGCTGGAAGATGAACCAAGTCAGATCCGCATTCCAGGTCTCCATGGCCTGAATGGCAGCCTCAACGGGCTCCAGCTCGGCACGTTGCGCAGCGGGTATATCCGAGGCTGAATCGGCAGCTTGTAGATGGAATTGGGAGTAGTAGTTCGGGCCGACATAGAGGGTTATCCAGTCGGCTAGGAACTCGCATATTTGGTCACCCATGGATAGCGGGAGACGAACGTGGTTGAGCAGGGTGACAAATAGGGAGAGTAGGGCGCGCCAGAGGGTATGGTGTGGTGTGAAGGCGCGAGCACCAGCAGTGGAACCGGAGCTGGAGCCGGGTATGACTAAAGATAGAGAATGAGAAAGTGGTAGGGAGAGTTGAGTTTCTGGTGGCGTGTGTGTCTCGGATGAGTGTGCGTTGCTGGATTGGTGAGCAGCGCGTCGCTCGAGTGCTTTCTCTGCGTCTTGACGCACTTTGTCCCATGTGCGGCGATAGATTCGCTCCCAGCGAGGGAATTCGGCCTCGACGCGAGATGCCATGAAGTCGCCAGCTGTCTTGCACATGACTCCTATGGCTTCCAAGGCGGCCGTGCTTACGAATGTCTCTTCCTTGAAGTCGAAATCCTCGATTCTGCGTGTGCCACTGCTGTTGACAGCGTTGGTAGACGGCGTGGGCGGGTCCCTCGTCATGAGAGCGTTCGACGACGTCTCGCTGGATAACGAATATGGAAAGCTGATCTTTGAAGCAACAGCAGGCCAGAGATCATTTATGACTGGAAGGAAGCTGTTCTCGTTCTGCGCCAGGGCTGGGAAGCCTTGAATTAGGACGGAGAGTAAGGAGCGGCGGAGGTAAGGCGAAGGAGAAGTCAGATGCGAGGGTATCGACTTGACAATGTGTAGAAGAATCGTGTGTGATTTAGTGAGCGGCTTCTCCTCATCCTCCGGCTCTCGAGGTGGAGGAAGTGGCTCCTCGGATTCATCCTCGTTCAATATATCAGAGAGGTTGTCAGCGTCGAAGCTCTCGGCCTTCTCAGGCTCCGCTTTCCAGGGTTGTTTCGGATGTGACACTCTTTCTTCATCGTCTTCCACGTCTTCATCCATATACTTGGCTCGCTTTGTTCTACGGGCAGCCAAATCCTCTGCCAGGGTAGATACAAGCAGTCTCTGGTATTGCCGCTTGCGATGATCAACAGCCTTGGCCTCGCCATTGGTAATTGCGAGGAGTGACGGGGCTTTTGTGCCTTCCTCGACGATGGCAGCCAAGGTCTTGAACATCGTTTCCACAAGTCTGGGGTATCCATGGTACATATCCAGAATACCAAACATTGAGTCAACCAAGTCATCCAAATAGGGAATCAGTCGAGCACCACACAGTTTCACCATCATGAAGAGGACTTGCGGCGGGTAGGGTGAGACATCAAAGGTATTCAGTTTCAATCCCACTGAGTTCACCAGATAGTCGACGTTTTTAATGATCATGGTGCTGGTATCCTCGTACTTGCAAGAGTTGGTGAGTATGTCAAGACATACCATAGCATGCCTCTGAAGATTAGAGTTGTTTGACGCGAGCAGCTGGAGAACAGGATATAGCGCATCCATTAGCTCCGGGCGGAATGCCTCTCCGAGTTGCTGTGCTTGAAGAGCAACCGCTTCCAGCGCGAGAGCAGAAATTCGCCAATCCCTGGAGGTCTCCGCCAGTGGTTGGTCTAGAAGAGGCAACGAGTAATAATATAGCTCCTCGATCATGGCCTTACTGCTTAGACTCTGGACCGATATTTCTATGTGATCCAGAGATATGAAATCGTCGAGGATGCCCGTGAGATGCGAACCAGTTTTTAAAAAGTTCAGGGCCAACCAGAACGGAGCCACCACTGCATCTCCAGAGGCACGGTGCATTTGACCGATGATGAACCGGGTAATCTCACTTCCAGACTCCGAGCTATTGAGACGAACAATCATCGATTGGAGATCCTTGAGAGTCTGCTGCTGGCTGCGGTGGCCCAGAAGTACAGAGGAAAATGTCAATGACCGATTGTCTCGATGCAGCACATCCAGGCTTAGGTTCTCAACCACGTCTTGATTCACCGGCTGAGGATTCCTGGAGGCTTGGTTGACAGCAGCAGCAACGCTATCGCACAAGCCTGATGCGAGAGCACTCGTGAGAATATCAGATTCCGACTGAACCTGGGAAAGTACCTGGAAGGCAGTGGATATCTGCTTGATTCCCCATTGCTTCGCCGTCTCATCATTGCCTTGCATAGTCCTTGGAAAGGCAGTGACCCAGGTGTGAAGCGAGTCCTTGAGAGTATCCAATACAACGGGATATGTGGTAGCAAGATGCTTCAGAGTAGTGTAGGCGTTATTGGGTGATTGATCTTCTGATATGGACAGAATGACAATCGTTTCTACCATGAGAGGTATCGAATCGTGGAGCGTAGCCGAACAGTCCTCTATGACCATCGAGCAGAGGTCCATAAGCGCAGCCTGCACCTCCTGCCGTTCATGGCGCCTTATCTGAATTACGTTTGCGAGAGCCAGCCGGATCTGCGTAGTCGTCGCTTTCAACCAAGATCCATCCAGGACTACCCTGTCGTCTGCTCGCTGGTTGTCCGCTTGCTGGGATTTGTGCGGCTCTTCCGTGACTGAACTCGCGACTTGGTCGTTCAAGACATTTCGGAGTAAATTAGTAAGAATCTGTAGACATATTGAGAGTACCCTGAAAGAGCGGCGTATCTGAGTCGTCGGCTTCAAGACCTTTGTCAGAGCTGACACCGTCCGCGGCATGATACTGGCTAGAACTACTCGATCGGTGACACGATCGAACAGAGCCCGAAGTGCCTCTGCTGCAGCCACACAGAATTCGTCCGATGGTCCATCTGACACTCCTTCGAGGAGAATGTACACAGCCTGGTCAACGATAGTGGCTGTACCGATCTCATGATAGATTGTCTGCTCTGCCACTGGCCCTTCCAAAACATTGAATATAGCCGCGAAGCAATTGAAACAAGCGATACCCAGCTCCGCGGGCTGCGAATGTAGAGACTGGCCTCCACTGGCTTGATTTGGCGCACCGCCCACGATCAAGGTTAGCAGTATTATGAGCTGCTTGCCCAATTGAGGGGACAGGCGTCGGCGCCATCCTTTCGCAATCAAAATCCCTAGGCAATTAACAGCTAGTTCCAATGTCCGCGCAGGAAGTCTCTGGGTCTCGTTGAAGATATGGGAGAGAGGGAAAAAGGCATATTCCGCTAGCTTCTCGTCCAGAGCATCTTTATCGGCGAGTTGGGCGAGGACGTTGTAGACCGGACTGAGGGCTTGGAAAACATCGCTGGGGTTATTCTGACGTCCACGGAAGCCAAGACCGACTGAGCTCAGCTCGACACAGGGAGCACGCAGCTACAAAAAGGGATTAGCATTCTACCATGTATCATCCTACCAGTCGGTTACCTTTTTAAATGACTCCTGCCGGAGGGTCTCCATCAGGCCCAGCTACAGCTCGAAGCCGATTGACAAAGGTTGAATAGCGTCTAAGCCATCCGGTTTGTCGCAGTATATATAGAGAAGACAGAGCATATGAAGTCGACTGCTCGTCACGCAGCGGATAACTAGAGAAAGTTCAAGTGAGTTGCTAAGCTGTGCGAATGAGTGTATGCTTCTCGTACCTCTTGTTTCTTTGCTTCTCCGCCTGCTGCCCGCATTTTCTGCCGCCCATTCACAGGCGGTGTGTACGATACAGTTTGCAATGTTTGCCTTGTAGCACGATACAGATGATGCATCGAGTCAATTAAAAGACGCATATAGCAGAACATCTGCGCCCTCGAGTAATCTTACTTGGTGCGATAATTATAGTCATCTGTAATCAATTTTTGACCATTTGAAACCTTCTAATTGCGATGTAGGGTTCCTGGTGTAGCATCACTGAGGTATCATGATAGAGCACGTGATCTCTGCCTGTCTCGCGTCACTACACGTCGCGTTCCCGCGAAAGGCTGCCTGCTGCTGGCAGAGGTTGCTGCCTTAATTGTACAATCAAGAGCTCAAGGCATACTGGGGTCTATTTAATAGCCTTTAAGCTCCTTGACTGTATGATATCCTGCTTTTGAAAATTAACTGATGTCGAATTGCGCAAGTCTTTGAAAGTGTCGCTGTGACACCTATGACCAGTCTCCGCATCTCCGCATCAATTGCGCCTCTATCGCATTATTGCCGCGGACCTGTCGCCTTTACTGCAAAAGGTAGAAATCCATATCGCACTTCACTGCGGAGCTTCACTGGTTACAGCAGACCCGTGTTCTTGTCTGGAGCCACTTCTCCGCTCATTTCCACCACTTATCGCTCTTTGGCTATTACTACGCGCTCTGCAATGGCAGATTCTAAGGGTAGGAAACAAGCTACGTTGGGGTATGTTCGAGACTCTCAATTGACCCTCGGGTGCGTTGTTTAGATGGACCTATCACTCCGCATGGCGAATTCTTACACAACTTGACTGTG